CTGCAAGGAAGGAGACGGGGAGAGTCACCGCTGCTTGGCGGCACCGGTCGCGGAGCGTCCCTGTAACGCTGTCCAGGACCTGCGTGATTTTTCTTTTCCTCCACCTTTTAAGGAAATCCGTGACTTTGTGACAGTGACATCAAAAAGCCTACGGGAACTTGATATGTGCAGACCCAAACTGGCCTCTTTTTCTCCCTCTTTGCCCTCTCCACCTGAAATCGAGGCATTTTGGCGTGGCAGGGGAAAAAGCCATGTGTGACGGTGACACTTAGCATCATGCTGGCTCCGGATGTGTCACGCCCGCCTGCTTCTTGTGCTGAGTGGTCAGGAGTTTGTCAAGAAGCACTTTCTTTTGCTTCTGTGCTGTACTGCGAGCCGTGCCCTGACTGAAATAGGCAGCCCAGACCTGACTTTTTGAATTTAGCTTTTGGACAAATACTGCCATTGAGTCTAGCATCCTGTGCTGCTTTTCAAAAGCAAATAACTAGATCCTTTTTTGAACTGTGGTCTCCAGAGATGGGTACACATACCTTTATATTCTTATGTCTAGAAGACACCCCTGATGGAAGACTTTCTGGGGAGAGTTTTTGACATAAGCATTTCACAAGCAGAACTGAAAAAGGCTTTATTTAAAGTTCTTGGAGTAGGAGTCTCTGAAGGGACAGGATGGCTGTGAGCATGGATGATGACGTTCCCCTCATCCTCACCCTGGACGACAGTGGAAGCAGTGCCTCAGCCCCTCTTGATGACCTGGATCGGGAGGAGCTGCCTAACGAAAGTAAGATTGCTTTATCGTTGTTTCCTGCCCGCTGCAATGGCCTCGCTTGTTTTTCTCTTTGTGGTGGCTGCTCTTTCGTGCACTTGCCAGGACTTGAAACTCTCAGAGCTGTCATTCAGCATCCCGGCGGCTGCCTGAGAAAATCAGATCAGGAAGTTGCTTATTGTGTTGCTTGTTTACCTACAGCACCCACCCGAGAGGGTAGAGGACACTGGATGGACGGGTCCTACCGATGCCACTTCTAACACACATTTTTTTGTGGTTTCCGTGTAATAACCTGTGACCTCGTTGTCCTTAAGCTCAACTCTCCTTTCCTCCACATTGGCCCAGAGCGTCTCTTTTCCTTGGCACTGACCCGCTGTGCCCTGCCACCGGCCCGAGCTATCAGATGCAGCAGCTGCAATGACGTCATGTGGTATTTTCCTAGCGCCATAAAGCATCTGTCCTTTGCAACTGTTGTTTTGCCTATTTCTAGTTTACATTCTGATTTTTGCGATAAGTGATACGTGTTAATAAATCCCTTTAACATCTTTAGTGTATTGTTGTCAAAGAACCTGGAGTACTTTTAGACAATATATTCGTACTCCTGTTAGCCCCAGGTGTTTAGTGGGACAGAGCCAGCCTGTGAGCGTTGGGAGGGGGAAAACAAAAGCCACCATCTCTTAGAAGCATTGCTTTCTCCTCTGTATATCTTCGTTAAAGCCATCGCCCCACGCTAGGTGAGATGGGAACAGCAGATGTGTTTGAGCGTGTTCAGTGAGTTTCTGTTTTATGTTACAGCTCACTGAATGTATTTGAGCAGTTTTGTTCAACACATCCCTTGACTTCCAATTGACATTGCAGGTATATGCACAGGTCTTGCGATCCTCTTCAAGCCCTTGCTGCCACAAGCTTAGCATTTGTAACAAATCGTTTCCTGGCCTGGCATCCCTTTTTTCTACATTATACTTCTATTCCATACTGCCTCTGTGACTCTGTGATTTGATTTCTCTCTTGCAATCATACGGGTTCCCTTAATTTTCTCCTTCTGTGACTTCCTGAGCCAGTAGCTAGTTTCTGACGATCAGTATTTCTCCTCCCTCCTCCTCCTCCTCTCCCACCCCTGCCATACACATCGCTGGCTAAATTGCCCAGTTGGCTTTCTCTTAAGTGCTGCTGCATCATTGCTCCATCGCATCTGCTCTCTTGCATCTGTTTGTCTTTTAAAATTTAGCTCTCTATTTTTAAGTTAAATAGAAAAGAGAATGCTTCCTCTGTCCACTGGTGTATTTATAGGCATCCTTGTGACTCATTTTAATCACTCTCATCTTTTTCTTCCACCTGCCTCCCATCCCTTTAAAGAAGTAGTTATGTGAGGTTTATCATTTGGTTAAAGCCAACATGACTGTGTTAAAGCACAAGCATGAGATTGAACGTATTAATAAATAAAAATATTCCAATCTGCTTCTCTTGAAATACAGGGAAATTATTTAGGGACCAATTTTGTGCTTCTTAAAAGATCACTGTGTGGTTTTGGAGAATTCATTTCCTGGAATTCTTCAAATTGAGTGTCTCTTGGTATAGAAGAACCGTTATTTTGCTATATGTTTTAATCACTGTTAAAGTTGAATTTGCTGAAAAAATATAAAGCTTATTCTATGCAAGTGATACTGAATGATACGGAGCTTTCTGAAGTAAGTGGGTACTGCAAGAGTGGAATGAAAGATTAGAGAGGAAGTCTGGCATAAACAACTTGAAAGGCACGTTTATCTCTGAGAAGCGGGAAGCTTAAATTAGTGAGTGAGCAGACTAACGCCATTACTTGCAAAAGTAAGGTTGTTTAAAAAACAGAACATGTAATCCAGCTTTCCTCTTCGCCTGCAAAGAAAATCTACTGTGAAATGCAACAAAGCTGTGTCTCAAGGAGGCTGTGAGGAATTTAAATGTTTCCCCTCTGCTCTGCCTCCACTTCTCTGCTGAGGACTCAAATGACATTAACAGCACTGTATAATTTCACATTTTTATTCAGAGGCTTGTCTTTTTTAGGGAAGAAGAGTATGTGAGAAGTCCTTTTCAGGAGAGGGAGAGCCTGCCAGGGTGATGATGAGGGCATGGGGACAAGGAAAGTCAGGAGGCTGTTTCCTTCTGGTTTTGTCTTCTTTATGCCTAAAATCTCATAATAGAATATTCAGCCAGAATTTGGAGGAGTAGCTCACTGTTACTGTGCCTGACCATTGATTCTGAGGGATTTGGCGGCAGGTTAAACACAAAGCTTTTATTTAACTGTGTCCCCAGATACCAGCTGGGAGTGTTTGCAGTGAAGGACCCATCATCCTCTTCCCAGGTGACATCGAGGGAAAGACAAAGTGGGTGTAACCGCCCTTGTGTTAAATGATGCGTCCGAGGTTGATAGTAATTAAGTTGCACTCTTGTTTTGTGTTGCTATGTCAGTGAACCTCTCTAAATTTTAATCCATATTCTAGCCTGTCACAACCGTCTCACTAAGTGCTGTGTATGTGTGATTTCCGTATATCAACTCTCATGTTTTTTAAGGAGCTTCTTGTGCTTTTTTTAAAAAAAAACTTGATCCGTAATGTAGCTTTGTTACAATCAGGTCCTTGGATAAATGAATTTGTAGTTTTGGACTCTTGGTGTTTGATTGTCTGGAAATGCAGACAAGTTACTGGGTTGAAATAAGTAGTATCAGGGTTTTCTGAAAGCAAGCCTGTTGCAGATGTAAAAAGAAAGGACTAAAGTGCAAGAGTGTATTCCTTTCCAAACGTTGCAGAAGAGTCCTCTTCTGGGTAAGTGAATGTCTTGGGGTTAGAATAAAAGAAAGCTAAATGAGAAAACTGTGCGGAAAATTACATTCTTAAAGAAAATGTCCAGCTGCAAAAATTAATCTCCCTAATCATACAGCTCTTAAGCACTTAATGGGAGAAAATACTTGCATGGGGAGGAATATTAAAACTCTGCCTTCCTTGGCTTGTGCTGGGATACACGTCTTCCAGGGAGCTCCCGTTTACAGCCACAGAGAGAGGTCAGAGTCCTGCAAAGTTGACGGGAATTCAGACCACATTCAGAAAAACGTGGTCCCTGTGGTGCCGATGGTTTTCTGACTACAACGTGTAGGACTGTAGCGCTGGGTAATTTTTCAAGCTGCAACAGCTGAAGGAGAGAGAGAGAAGCACTTTTGTCACTTGAATCCACGCTAATTAATATGATGCTGCCCTTCCCTAGCACATCTTATCTGAGAATCTCTGAGTGCTGTACACACTCTAATTAAGCTTCTCAGCACCTGTCTGAGGTGAATGACTAATATTAACTGACTTTCCGTAGAAGGCGAAAATGGGGATGCAATCCTTCCATGACCCTTCCCAAAATCGCATACTGAAAATGGTGAGAAGCAGCGGGGGTTTAGTGATTTCCAGTCCCTCACCTGAACTCCTGGGAAGCTTTCGAACAGGGTTCTCAAAATATCTCAAAGTGTGAGGTATGTTTTCTATGTACAAAGGCAGCATGGATGGCCTTGAAACTCTAGGACAGTGTCTCTCCTTGAGCTGATGGGAACTATAAGCCATAAATGAGTGCACATTGATTTATCCTGTATTAGATCAGATACAAGATTCTCCTTTGCCTCCTGCATGGAAATTGCTGTAGCCTCAAGTGGAGTTTCAGTGTATTCAGAGCAGAAAGTACAGCTCAAAGTGTTGTACAGGGAACAATATGATATTGTATGTCTGTTTCTCCCACACAATGATTATGGCAAGTGGAAGAAGTCATCTTTAAACTCTGGGTTTTTACAAGAAAGCAACTGCATCTGCTATTGAGGTAAAAATGAATTATTGTGTATGTGTGGGGAGGTGGGGGGAGCAACTGCAACAGCGAAGTGCGATGTTTTCTAGAAGGATTGTTGGAAAATGGGAAGTTATAACTTTGAATGTTGAGGTTTCAGCTGAGTCTTTGCAATCTGGGTTTCTGCTGCCTGAAGAGTAAACTGTCAGGAAAACTAGAGCCAGCCTGGCCTTTTGGGTAGAAAGAGAATTGTTGACGAATGTGCCTGCGTGCCTGTGCACTGCTGTGAAGGAGAAGGTGGCCCAAAGCGTGTAGAGAAAATTACATTTCACTGTTGGTGAAGTTGGCGGGGCTTCCCAAGGTGTGCTTGGTGAGGAAGTGACTTTGGCCAAGGAAAGCAGTGACTGCCTCTGGGACTGTTGGTTGTGCCTCTAAAACAGAGCATGGTGTGTGCTGTGCTTCCTGGAGCTGCTGGAAGGAGGGCCTCCGCCCTTGCCTTGCTTCTGCACGTCAGCCCGGTTCCTTGATGAAATGCATGAAGAGGCTTTCAGCAAAGCTGGTCTTTTTGTAATTGGCTGATAGAAACTCATGTGATGTTTCTGGACACAGAAATTACGGTATTAATGGATGTTGTATACAACAAACTCATCGTTTTTTTTAAAAATTCCTTTACTAATCCACAGGTAGACACACGCTTTTGGGGGTGGCCCAGGATTGGGGGCAGTTAACGTTGTTCGTTTGAGACACATGAGCTGCCTGCATTTTGATGTTTTCAGTAATCAATGCAACCTGAAGTGATATAACTCTCTTCTGTGTTGGACCTGGTTCCAGAACATGTTTGTATCAGCAGTGAGAGAAAGTAAGTCTGTCCACGTAGTCCACAGCTTCAGCTCATCTGGTCAGTGAGTCCCTGCTCTTCAGACATCTCTGTGGCCTCCTTCCTGCTCCTGCTTCCTTTAGTGCCGTCCGTGGATGAAAGAGATTTGCAGGTGTAAAACAAGCGTACGTTTTCTGATGGGCTGAGGGAACGAACAAAGAATAAATACCTGACCTTTGGGGAAATGCTATGACCACATAGTCTCTTAGTAGCTGTGCTTCTTGAGGAACCACTTTAATTGCTGTGAAAACATTCTGGCTTTGCTACTTTGAAGGAAAATAGGTGTTTGAAACGTCAGCCATCTAGTAGATTTAATAAATCCTTCAGGATCTGTAGTTTTGATCCTTGT